CTGAACATCGCTTAAATATTTCTTTTTCTTCTCCTCTCCTCTACACCAAGTCATTATCTGAAGAGAATCCTTCATGACAAACATGAACATGTTCCTGCTCTTTTCTTCTTTCCGGCACATCAGATTGAACAGCAGAATTGTTCTTCCACTAAACCCATACAGATGTTAAGAGTTGTTCCCATTCTGTACATTTGAGAGCTGATCAGTGCCTGGTAGAACACAAAGCTGCTTGAAGGGTTTGCTTGCTGCTTGCTCTTCTCCACAACAAGGCCCTAATAAGTTGTTCTCTGGGGTAGCCAGACAGACTTGTAAACACTGATAATCTTCTGAATACCAGGATAAGTGAACAGTGCAGTTAAATAGTTCTTTTCTTGAGATCATTGCTGAATTAGGAATTAAAAGTCAGCATCATTAGATTTTTTACCTGTGTGACTGATAGAACCTGAGACGTTGTAGGTAAACCTGCTTAAATTGAAGGACGTTCCACCAATAAACAATTTCTTTTCATGTTGGCATATTTATGATTTTGTCCTCAGAGGTCAACAAATAGGCAATAACTACCCTTGTTCTCATCCAGTTTTTGATATCCAGACAATCATACCATCTTCATAATCACATTAAATGCCACAATGTTGTTGAGAATCCATTAGAATCTTTTAAGGTTTGCAATTGCTTGTACTTTCACCACTACCAAGCAGACTAGTTTTTACCCCTTTGGAGCAAAACTTTCTGGTCTCCTGCAGTTCTTTCAGGGCATATTCATGCGTTCTGTTTTCAGTCTGGGCCCTGGCTGGATATTAAGCTCATTTGATTGTGCCTAAAGCTTGCTATTCTGTTCTCTTTGCAGCAGTGGCTGTGGCAGTCAGCATCCCAGCTGTCCTGCTGAAACAAGGGATCATTAATACAGCACAGCCACATTTCAAATAAACCGTATCTTAAATGCAATAGAGACAGTGCCTGCTTCTTCCTAATAACGCCATTCCCTGCATTTAGGAAAGCCAGATTCCTTGAGGCTCCTCCACACATTGTTTGTATCTCTGCCAACCTGTATTCTTAGAGAACTGCTGGCAAGCACCACTGCTGTTGTCGGGATCTGGCTAAGGCGCTCCATATGTTTTTTTGCATTATATTGAAGACAAGACACAAGGTCTTTGAAGCCAGCTTCATTCTTGAAGTTCTAGTGGGCACCAAGACCTTCTTCCCCAGAAAGACACTACAGAGCTGCTTTCTTTGCCCTTTGACTGGCCTTTGCTAAGCTAAACTGATGCATCCGGGCAAAGAAAGCCTTTCAGCCGTGGTGTGCCCTTCTCAGGCACTCGCTCAGCTGACCCACTGCAGCCACGTCAGGGGCAGCTCCCCACTGGCACCAGCCCTCTGTAGGCTGGTGGGCACAATTCTGTTTTCACACTCAGCTGCTGTTCTCAGAACTCTGTCTCAGATTCTGATTTCTTTTGGCAAGATCCCAGGTGTTGTTAGAGTAGACAGCCCTTCTTGATAAGGTCAGAGGAAAACCAGTTTCAAGACACAATAGTGTACATGGAACTGGTGACATTTACAGAAGACTAAAGCCTGGAGATCACTCACTTAACGTGAAAACCAGTATAAATGATGATGGCACTTAGGTTAGTGAAAGAATTCACTTTACAGAAAAGGAGAAAAGATTTTAGTTGATAAAGCAGTTCTCTAATGGAGAAAAAGCTAATACTGATGAAAATCAAGAAAGATTGATGCATGAACTTACATACTGTGATGCCTAAGCCTTGGTTAATGAAGAACAGATTTTCCTTAAATAGTGCTCATAACATAAATTCATGTAAAGGAATGCACACTACTCCATAACCATATATTGAAAAAGAAATTGTGAACATTCCTTATGCCACTAATGTGCTACTTACCATCTTCCAAGGCTAGGACAAGAGCATACTGGACAAAGAGAGCAGCTCACTTTTAAGGTCCTTCATTGCTGTTGTGATGAAGAAATTACATTTTAATTGAGAGTGTCCACCACTTAATAAAGCTTTGGCCATTATATGAAGAAAAGCTTGTGTTTCAGCTTTGTTATGCTTGGGTTGTTCTTCCTTGTGCTTACTTGTCTGCATAAAGCAGTATGGTTAAACTTGATGATCTTAAAATTCCTTACCTAACCAAAATGATTCTGTGATTCCTAAATTGTCCACCTACCCTCAGTAAAAACAAGGTTTTCCTCTAGACTTCCATTATTTCTATCCTCATTCAGAAATATTACTAGTGATCAAATTAGGAGATGAATTCCGGCAGTTTGAACAAGTAGCCAGGGAATCCCAATTTTTGGCAACATCATAGTATCCACAGCCTTGAGCAAGTAATCAGCCTTCCCTTTGTAGCAGTTGGAATATGCAGTGGTGTGTTTGTTGAAAGCCTTTCAACTCTACTGGTTCTTGTCAGGAAAAAACAAAAACAATCTACTCTTCTTACTTCTAAGTGCAGGGATATTTTGCTTTTAAGCAATTTATTATTTTAAAAAATAGAGGGGGCTAATAGAAAATGTTTTTTAAATTAACCAGTTTTACTGTTATGGGAAACAATTTTGTTTACTGCAGGGTTTTATACTTTATTTTTGTCATCACTACAAATCCAAAAAACATCAACAACAACAACAACAAAAGTCCAAGTTTTTCACAGGGGGGCAAAATCCCTTACCTGCATTGCTGGATAAAAATGTGTTCTATTCTTCAAGCGTGTTGTAAAGATTGATTCGTGTCCTTGAAAGTGCAATGAAAAAACTCTTTTAACAGCCTAATGACAGGTGATGGATTCAGTGAGCTTTGCTTATGACCTAGCTCTGTCAGTTTTGGTATTCTGACATCTTTTCCTCAGGTTCAAATGGAGTCATCAAATTCAGAAGAAGATGAGCTGCAGATAAAAAGAGCTATTTTGTAAAGACTTTTCCAGATTTTGTAAATTTTGAGGTTAAAGACAATGGGCTTTTCTTATTTTACCTAGTTTAAGTCTTAAGAAGGAAGTGACTAGGCAGCTGCAAGAGCCCTTGCCCTGTAAAGGAGTGAGGAACAAATCGCCCACAACAGCCACATGTAGAGAACAGAGAAGAAGCAGGAGGCACAGTGAAGTCTGGTCCAAAGATTAACATTAGGATACTGAGCTGAGGATTATATGTATGTCAGAGACCTTTAACCAATTAATTTGGATAGCATCTTTTGACTTTCAGATGCTTGGTGATGAAACAGACTTTGGTGGATTCCTCCCTATTCCCAGACTGTTTAGGTCAAAAATTATGATAGTGTAAGCTAGACAAAATTCATGGCTTATCTCAGCAATATTGGCACATGGAACTGGGAAACATTCCAGAGCTAATTTTCTTTATGTTGAGAAAAGCTGATAATTGTTCTATGTGCTCACCTGAATGCAGTCACGGTTGTAGTTTTCTCCTTATTCTTTGACACTGTGTCAATCTTATTTTTCTCATAATTTTACACTGCATTTTGGAAGGATAGAAGTATCTGCAAACAAACCCCCAAAGCCCAATCATCAGTCATAGTAAGCATTTTGTAAATTCACACATAGCTGTGTTATTTTTAAACATATGCAGGCTCTTTAGAACTGAAACATAGGTTCAAAACAGAATGATTTTTCTCACAAGGGTTTGAGCATAGCTAGGGAATTGCTCAGTTTAAAATGGGTAAGCATCTCATGAACAAGACTAAGAGGTGCTTTGAGTTGCATAATTATTTTCATCCTAATATAGTCCTTCTACATGTTTTAAAAACCCAAGAAAAATTAGAATCAATGAAGTCTAGCAATGCCAAGTTATGTTCACTAGTTAATAGGAAAATAACTATACTAGGAAAAACTGCAATTCTAGGAGTCAGGTCATCAATGTAACCTTTCAAGGCATGACACCTTTTTTGATCTACACATTCCTTAGCAATTCCTAATTTCAGCTTCTCCCTCCCTCTGCAAGAAACTCAGTACTGGTCACTTTTCGGTATAGAAACTCCTTTGAAGGTTTTGGAAACTCAACTGAAAATTTTATTGCGAGCAGTTTTTTGCATATATGCCATCTCTCAAGTAAAATGCTACCATTTTTTCTGAGCGTTCACATATTTCATAATTATGTGCTGCTATTTCTCAGTTATTTTATTTTGGTCCTGGTAATGTGAACTCTTGGCATTTCATGTATGTGAGATGTTACTGAGGTGTATTTTATGTACAAAGGTCTGTTCAGCTACTCATTTATCAAAAGCAAGCATTAGTGTTCATGTTGTGTGTCCAAAGCTAAGTTTGCTAGTGGAGCTCACACATTTACATTTTTGCTGACCGTATTTATTCTGTCAAGTTAGAGCCAGCATGCAATTGACCTTTATAAGCTGAGTCATAAACTTTTATTCTGTTCCCATTGTGGCTTACCACAAGATAGACCCCTCCAGGGCAGCAAGCATTCCCCTTCACACCCCTCCCTGGGGGTGTCTGTCACCTCCAGGCAGAGGCAGGGGAAGTCCCAAGGACATTGTCAGGGGTGTGCATCAGTAGGGAAAGGATGCTGTCTTCACCCTGTATCAAAGGGAAGGTTAGTGTGCCATCAGTGGGCTCAGCCTTTCTCTTAGAGGGACTTCTGATTTTGATTTCTACTTGATACCATGTCTTCTAGGCAAACCCCTTGGAGCAAGACCAGGTTAAGGAAATAGAAGAACAGAGTAGAAAATGACATTTATCGTTTCCTGCTCACCTTCCTGCTGGGTGTTTATACGCTTCTTAGCAGAAAGAGCACTACAGTGTGCTCCGCAAGGTTGAAGATCTTAAGGTCAGCAAAAGGCAGCTCAGCAACACTTCTCAGCAGCCAGGCTTGAAACACTTGCTAAGAACCATGACAGCATCAGGCCAGGATGTTAGTGAATGTTCCAGTTCTGGAGTTTCATAATTGTCCATGGTGAAATGAAGTCTGACCCCAAGACCAGGAAAAATCTTTTCTATCGCTTCAATTTTACTACTCCCTTCTTTTGCAGATGAAAAAGACCCTTTTTGTGGATGAAAGAGCAGCTCAAATTCTGCAGTCAAGCTTGTGCTTCTGCTGAAGTCACAGTAAGTGACAGCTGCAGTGATGAATTTCTGTATGAAGATTGTATGAACATCGCCCCATTCCTCGAAGAACTGGCTAACACTGCCATGCATTTCACACAGCCTTCTTTCAGATATCAGGTCCTTTTGGTCATTAGTGGCTTGGACTGACACTGAAATGTTAAGTAGTCCTCAAGATTACAAATCCATCATCAGCTGTATCTGAGCAGCTATGTCACTGCTTCCCAGTTCAATTACTATGTGCAAAAAGGTGTCCTGACCTTTAGCTTTTTAGTAACATCACTTTGCTTGTAGGAAGGGTTCAAGGACCAAAAATCTGTCAGGTGTGAAAGGAGATTGATTCAGGGACCTCCTGAGGAAGCTCAGTCCACATAAATCCTTTAGACCTGATGGGTTGCACCCAAGGGTGTTGTCATTCTGAAGCTGCTTACTATCATCACTGAAAGGTCATGGAGACTGGGGACATCTTCTGTGCCTGCAGAAAAGCAGATGATGCACCCAGCTTCAGAAAAAGGGCATGCAGGACAATCTAGAGAAATACTGAACAATCATGGAACAAGCCATCTTGGCAGAATTTCCAGGCACATGAAGGAGAATGGGGTGACTTGTAACAGCCAGCATGAATTTACAAAGGTAAATCACACCAGACCAACTTAATTGTCTCTTGTGATGAGGTGACTTCATCTGTCAAAGAGGGGAAAGCAGACAATGTTGTCTACCTTGAGTTTAGGTTTCTATGTAGTCTCCCACGGAATCCTTGTATCCAATTTCAAATGGATAGTTAGCAAAAACCAAACTGAATCATTGGTCAAAAGGGCTTATGCTCTGTCTCCACTGGTTACAGTGGAGTTTCTTTGGCATCTGGCTGGTCTGATACTTTTATGAATAACTTGGAGGAAGAGATGGGATGCAGTACAGTCAGGTCTGTGAACTGATGATACTTAATGTAAGGTGTACTTGACATGCTAGCGATCAGGCCTGCCATTCAGGGGGATCTCTACTTGCCAGAGGACTAGGTCAACAGGAACATCATGAAGTTCAGTCAGGACAAATAGAGCACTCTTTATCTCAGGTGGAATAACCCCCATGGCTTAGTTAGCTGCTTTGCTGAAAAGGACGTGGGAGGCTTGGGGCAGGCTTCTCAGGAGTCAGCGGTAAACTCTGGCAGGAGTGAAAGTGCATCAGACTGTATCAACAGGAGCACAGATGGCAGATCAAGGAGACTGATTATTCCGTTTTACTCAGCACTCATTAGACCACAGCTGGCGTAGTGGGTCCAGTCTAGAGGCTCCCAGTACATGACAGCTGCTGGCAGACTTGAACGACTCCGCTGAAGGGTCAGCAGGATGGCTAGAGGTTGAAGCATGAGAATTGTGAGGAAAAGGTGAGGTATTGGGGTTTGTTCAGCCTATGGAAGAGAACAGCAATTTTCCAGTTCCTAAGAGAAGATTACCAAGAAGATAGGGCTGGGCTTTCTGCCAAACAATGAGACTAGGGCTGTAATGAGCAGGGGAGGTGCTGGTTAGATAGAAGGGAGAAAAAAAATGACACAACAGGAATAATTAGGTAGTGGAATAGATTACCCAGTGTTGTGCAGTCTCCACATGGGGATTTTTTAAAACCTGACTGGACAAAGACATAAGGGACCTCAGACCTTCCAAAGTCCCTTCCATTCTGAATTACTTTAGGACAAACCTCAGAATGGATCCTCTCCATCTCCTCAACAGAATGTCCTCCATGTAATAGAGTTCCCATGAATCTGTGTATTTGAAGTCAGTGTACATGCTGCTATTCACCCCACAGACCAGGAAAACTTTATAAAAGATTGCCCCTCTAGTTTTAACTAAACAAGATATAAGACAATTTGGGAAAGAACAACACTAGACAGGATGAGACAACATTTTTTTATTGTTTTAATACGAGTGAATAGATTAAGAGATCTGAAATGTTGTAAAGCAATATACATACTGAATAAATAATATGCACAGGAGAGTCATGTCTACATTGTAACACTGGCTAGTATTCAGAATACTTCAAATAAATCCAGTGACATTGGATAAAGTCCATAAAAATGCTATCCTGTCTTCCCTTGTATGAAATTGTTCAAGTATAAAAAAAATCCAATACAGTGTAAAATATTAAATTCCATTTCGGTCAAGAATAAAAATTGCAAGTATTGTAGTTTCACAGGACAATGTAAAGCAGCATTTTCTAGCAAAGGGAAAAATAGTCAGTCTACATACAGATGAGTGAGAAAACGGCACTAATGTATTTGAGAGGTCTACATGAATAACTAGTAGAGGGAAAAAGAATGAACTAGCAATATTTTATGTAAAAACCTAAAAAAGTGTTAATTTAAGAGTACCCTCATACAGTGCACATACTGAATTTAAATAAATCCAAGTCAACATCCTTAGTTAATTAGGTTAATATTTAATATGCTACATCTAAGCCTACTAAATAATTTATACCATGAGATGAATACATAATTTTACAGTGTCACATCTAAAGTCGCTTTCTTTAGAGCGCAGCATAGTAAAACTTTCAAAATAAATATTTCTTTTTAAATAGCATAACAATTAAGGCACAGTATAAATCACATACCATTAACCCTTCAGGAACTGCAGTCTTGGTAACAAAAAGTTGTCTTGTGTACTGTATGTTTGCTAATAAATACTTTAAATATAATCCTGAAATAGATATTAAAATTGTACAAATGGTTTCAGAAAAGAAAATTCCCTTAAAACAGTTCTTAAAAGGTTTTAGTTCGTTAGGCTTCTTCCTGCCTTTATTCACAAGTTATGAATAGATGCAATAAATAGAAAGAGAAGGCTGTTGTAGTAAAGGGCTGATCCTATTTTAGAATCAGAATAGCTGACACCAGCAGTTAAAGTTTCCCAAAAGTGAAACGGGATGGGGCGAGGGATTAGGATGTGACAAGCTCATCACATGAGCACGAGTGATGTGTTCTGTCCAGAACTGTCTGTGTTATTGATTGTCTCTACAGCTGTTGCACCCCTTACTTCCACATCACTTGCTCCATAGTTCCACTCATCCAGAGGACAGAGAAGAAAATAACTTTGGTGCCTGTCCGCCATCTTACTAGCCGGCCATCTTCCTTGGGTTGTTCGGTGCCCGTCAGTGAGACAGTGACAAGGTCCTGTCTCACGAAGACAACTTCTGAAAGCTAGAAAGGACAATCAGTGCTTTAAGCTCGTTTCCTCTTAAATGGATAAAGGTTACATATTGCTGACTCAAGTTTTTTCCCTGGTTCAAACTTCTCAGATACCATTTTCTTACTTATAAAAGGCAGTTTTGCTTCCCTGATACTGTAGAAAGTACATCTTTGCGCTTTTTTGGTTCTTTTTTGTTTGTTTGAAAATATGAAGTCCCATTGCTACTCCTGCCACTCTTCCATGACAGTACAGTATTTTTCCCCCCATTTTCTTCTGGCTTGATACTTGAAACTAGACATGCCGCACTACCCTTCCCCTCTAGCAACAAGATTTGGATGCATACTGTATGAAGACAGTGGAATAAAAATCTTTAGTTTCACAATAGCATCGCTTTCCTTAAAGCTCCTTAGTTACTACAAATCGTCTCTGTTAACTACTTATACTGGAAGGCCGAGAAGAGGAAGAGAGAGCCCGCGAGCTCCCTTCGGCAGTCCATCTGCTATTGCATGCGGTCTGTCTGCAGCTGTTGGGGCTGGTACTGGCCGAAAGCCGCCGCGGCCGCCGCGGCCGTGCCGGGCGCTGCTGCGGTGAGGGGCTGCTGCACGGCGTAGCCGTAGCCCCCGGCTGCCACGTAGCCAGCGGCGGCAGCGGGCGAGGCGGCGTACGGGTACTGCTCATAGGCGGCCGCCGCCGCCGCCGCCGAGTACTGCGAGTACGCCGCTCCGGTGTAGTCGATGTAGGGCGTGGTGGAAGCAGCGGCTGCTGCGGGCTGCACGTGGGGAATTACCACTCCGGGCTGCACAAAAGCCTGTGGATAGACATAGTGAGCGGGTATCCTGTTGAAAGATGGGAGAGGGAGTTAGAGTCGGTACGCGAGTCAGTGCCTAAGTGTCATATCCATACTCCGAACTAAAACAAACTCAATTTAGTTGTTGTTATGTGCATAGGGTTGCCACAATAACTTGACTCAATGGACCAATTATCAGTTCACTGGTGCGAAGAGACGCATCGCTCCAAAGCACAGCGTTGTAGCTGAGTTAAGTCAGGGTGTTCCGTGTTCCTTGAGGATAATATCTTTAATGCCATTCAAATCTTCAGAAGGACCAGCATTACTGACGTCTCTTTTAAGACAACTCTGAAGGACTAAGCTTGATTACTCCATCTGAAAAATTGCAGTACTTGTTTTTCAAATCACCTGTAAGGCATTTTTATTACCCCTCTTCTCTCTTAACCATTCGACTCTTAGTAAAATTACTTCCTGCAGTACTTTTATTATTAGTAACTGAGCAGTTTGACAGCATCACTATAATGAGTTCGACAACAGCCAATAAGGCAACAAAATGATTGAACTCTGACTTTATGTCAAGTCTTCCCAGGGAAGCGTGTTAAAGAGCGTATTGTGGCAACCCTACTTAAGTTGCTATGCAGACTCAGCACACATTAATTTCTCTGCAACCTCAGTCACCCTTATTAAAAATAAGAAAAAAACCAACACAGGCGACAAAGGAGTTTAAATAGAGTTCACAAGTGTGGTAAACACAGCAAGAATCACACTTTCCAAACGAACGATAGTGCAGCTCACTCCGTCACAAGAGGCCATTGAGGGGAAGCTACATAGATGCTATTAAAATCCATAACAGTGACTCCTAAGTACATGTGCATCACACTTTTATAAAAGTTCGTAAGGACACAAGAGTCAAACCTGTTTGATTATCAGGTCACTGATGTCCTGTTTTGTGCCAGCTTGTCTATTTCTATGCAAGACATACAGCATAGAGTTTTTTGGGAGGTGGGCATAAGATTAAGTCTAAATAGATCTGGTGCTTAACAAGAGCAAAAAAACCACAAATTTACAGTTTAAGAAAGAACCATTCTGAATAGATGCGTAAACACTTTCCCATCTTGTCCAAGTCACATAATTTGCTTTCTTGGCTTATTTACTTAGCCCTTTAGTTTTAAAAAACTGGTCATATCCTTGCCTTAGCACACAAGTGTACATACATGTTAATGTCATTGTTGGATTTTATAATATAATATGATTTTTAAAACATACTCTGTATAATTCTCATTTTACATTCATAACCCTGTCTTCCATCTGGATTTCCAAAGAGAAGTCCTTCATATATGCAACTCCTTCCCAGCCAGTGAATCTCTATAAATGCATGAAAAACTTCTTGTACAGATTCACTGCTGTTTCATAGTGAACTTTCTTTACCTTTACAGACACCTCTAAAGACTGCACCAACCTCTGAACACACTTTAGGCACAGATGAAAACTGTAGTAGTAAAAAGTTTCCTCTATTCTCCAAATTCAAGATTTCATGGAAAGGGTTTGTTGGGGGATTTTTTGTTTCATTTTTAAAATAGCTTAAAGGTGTACCTAAGTGGTCAACAAGGAAACATTTGCAATCAGAGGGGACACTGTAAACTGGAATCATAGCAAAACGCAGTTTAAAGTAAGTGATAGACTTTAAAACAGCTTAGTTTTCTTTTTCAGAAAAAAAGAGCTCAGTTGCTTGAATAGGAGTATTAGCAGAGAGAAA